ACCCACCTGATACGCCTCCAGAGGGGGAAGGTTCCCTGAACAGAGCAACACAACGCCCACAACAAAGAAAAGAAGAGGTAGACAAAGCAGCGAGACGAAGGGCACCGGGTGCCGCGCGATGCAGCTTCTCCCAGCAGGTTGACGGGAAACCCCCTGCCCGCCATTCTCACCTGCCCGCTGTCCCGCACACCGGGTGCCACTCCCCCCAAATAATAATAATAATAAACGTGGTCGCAGGCGCATGCGTGTAGACGCACACATTCGCCCGCAGAATGAGCCGTCGGGATGTTGCAAGAAAGGAGCACACACACACACACAGCAGATGCGCGAGCCCCTCCGCCGCACCAACTGATGATCCACAGGCGCGCGGCAAACAGCACCCAAACAACAAAAGTATTGCGCCAAACAGGCAAAACTATTTGATCAAAAAGAAAAAGGGCACTACATGCGGCCCACCAAGAGCGCATCGTGGCTGAGCCACATAACCGCCTTCAGAGCCCGCGCACGCCTCGATAGATCTCAAGAAAGCCGTACCACCACACGATAATGCTACTCATCGGCGCGGAACGGCCGTCCTCAGGGCAGGGCAATACGCATCCACCGCCGCACCGGTGCAGGTGTCGCCAGCAATGAAACAGAATAAGAGCAGCCTAAGCGCATCACCGTTCACACGCCGTGAATTCGGCCCAGCGGATGGCGCGCCGTCCGTACCCCCAACGCTGACATACGACCGAGCAAAAAGGTAGAAGTTCATCATGTTGTCCCCACCGCCCAGTTTAGGGTCCTCGAAACGCCGGCGCTGAGAAGGAGAGTGCTGAGCACACACACACACACACACACACACACGCACGCACGCAGGTGACAGGCTCCAGGCTCCAACCCTCGGGGCGCGACAGTGGTGCGGAACATCTCGGGGTGGAGGCTACCGCCGTTTTGTCATGCGCCCCTTTTCCAGCAGAGCGTGGCCGGCATTCGTGCCCCCGCCCCATCGTCTCTTCCTCTGTCCCCCAAACGGGCGCAATTTCCTTCCATTCTTCGCGCCTGTGTGACTTCGCGCCGCTGCCTGGTGATCGGGCTAACACAGCAGGAAATACACTGACATGCCCACAGCCGCACGCGTGGTGTGCGGGCCCGGTGTTGTGGGCGCACGCCCTCATGCCGAATGAACCCCACTGCGTTGGGGAATTTAAAACTGACGGGCGCGGGCGGCACGAGCACACGTGCGCCCCTAAAGCGCCGATTCGCCGTTAACATCGCCACTCGGACCCCCACTTGAATCGCGCCAAAAGGCGGTGTTTCCCCCTCACTCGGAGGCCCACGGCAGCTTGCCGGCTGGGCGGGCAGCGGCGAACATACCAACGGAGTGCAGCAGTAAAGGGACGCCGGGCCGCGCGGCTCTCACACACCGACGCACCGGGACACGGCGTCCGCGCCAGAAAAACTACCGGGTA